TATGTCGGATAGTCAGGCAGGTTAAAGGCCTTAGACTCTTATAAATGATTGATTTGGTAGGAAGTTTTGGTAGGAAAAAAAATGTGTCCGTGGCAACACTGGTCTCGACGCCNACTCCAGTTCGAGTTCTAAGCAGAAAATTACTTCTCAATTCTTCATAATTATTATGTTTTTAATTTCTTTGGATTACATGTCAAATCGCAAGACTGCTTATTTCTTGCTATTTGTTGCATACAACAGACTACAAGCTATTTTTTGAAAATATTGACCTCAAAATTAATTATCAGTTCAATAAATACGTAGCTCTTGAGTTCCATCCTTAAGCTAAGAAACTGTGTAACAATATAAAGCAGATGTTGACAGAAGAAGAAATATCCGAAAGTTGTATTCTAGCGAGTTTCAGCGGGTTTTGAAAAGCAACAGTGCACTGAGGGAAATAATGCATAGTAAAAATGAATACTTTATATTTGATTATCGTTTAAAAATGTTCGTATTTAAAAATATTTAGGGTGCTCACAGTTCGATATTATCTACTGTGTTAATTTTGCCACCTAGTAACTTTAAAACATTTTACCATGAGGTAACTTTGTTTGTTGTTGGTTCCCATTCTAATTAGAGATAACACTTTTGGGCAAAATTACTCGACTTTGTCTCATGTTTATGTTTTGTGTTAAACTGGCATCTATAGCTGCTTGTACATACATACATGAATTTCGCTTTCGGCGCAGCGCTGCCGAAGCTGGCAAAGGTTCTTTTTTTTATTTTTGCGCTGTGCTAGCTGAGTATAAAAAAGAGAAGAGAGAATAGAGAAATATGTATGTGGTTTGTTGATGCTCTCTAAACACAAACGCGTGAAAGGCAAACAGTCTAGCAATACGTGGTATTGTTGATCAACTTAATACTTTATTTAAACATAAGGGTTGCTCACAGTTCGAGTGCGTTATCTTGTTAAAGTTGCCACCTTTTAACTTTAGAAGTAAACTGTGAATACCCTAAATATTTTCATACAAAATTTATTACGCACGTATTTGACTGTTCACATCTGAGTATTTATATGTATGTTAGTGTACATATCAGTGTTGCCAAACATGGGCTTTTCCTACCAAAACTGGTAGGTTTTTTTCCATTTGGTAGGTTGGTAGGCTAGATTGGATTTTGGTAGGTTCAGCGACAATAATAGTTATTTGAGAAAAATATAAAATATGTATCTCCAAACATTTTAACAACCTTGTTTACATGACTATTTCACAGGTGGAGTCCACCAATGTTCACCTGACAGAAACTTCATTGTGAGACTTGAGGAATATCACCAAAACTAACCTATTGGTCTTTTAATATGGTTGTAGGACCCATTGTCACACATACAGCACTGGCCTGGTGACCAAAAGCTACGCAAGTAAAGGCGTGTGCCACCTTTAGCAAGCTGCACCGACTGGTCCGCGTGGCTAGTACAGGAGCTATGGGCACCAGTCCAACGGATGCCCTTGGTGTCATTACAGGCATTCCTCCTTTGTCTATTCTGTTTGAAAAAAGGGACTGCTGTAAAGTGATAATAACTATGATTGACGAAAGGTCCCAAGTATGATATTCCGACGGATCAGACGAGAGTCTACTGGGGCAGGCGTATTTGGATCAACATTTCAGAAAGTCTGCGAATTACACATACTCAACTATATTCCAGGGGAAAGTATTCGCAAGCGAAGTTTGTGTAGAAGGACAAATGGGGCCAAATTAAATATTATGTCGGATAGTCAGGCAGGTTAAAGGCCTTAGACTCTTATAAATGATTGATTTGGTAGGAAGTTTTGGTAGGAAAAAAAATGTGTCCGTGGCAACACTGGTGCATATGAACCCTAAGCATGCAGAGCGGCGCTCTGAGAGAGAGAAGGGGACAACACACACATACATACATAGTACATACATGTCTATCCGTACAAATCGCGTGCTGTGGTGTGTAACGACTTTCTCCAAAAGGCCCGCTNTATTTGTTGCATACAACAGACTACAAGCTATTTTTTGAAAATATTGACCTCAAAATTAATTATCAGTTCAATAAATACGTAGCTCTTGAGTTCCATCCTTAAGCTAAGAAACTGTGTAACAATATAAAGCAGATGTTGACAGAAGAAGAAATATCCGAAAGTTGTATTCTAGCGAGTTTCAGCGGGTTTTGAAAAGCAACAGTGCACTGAGGGAAATAATGCATAGTAAAAATGAATACTTTATATTTGATTATCGTTTAAAAATGTTCGTATTTAAAAATATTTAGGGTGCTCACAGTTCGATATTATCTACTGTGTTAATTTTGCCACCTAGTAACTTTAAAACATTTTACCATGAGGTAACTTTGTTTGTTGTTGGTTCCCATTCTAATTAGAGATAACACTTTTGGGCAAAATTACTCGACTTTGTCTCATGTTTATGTTTTGTGTTAAACTGGCATCTATAGCTGCTTGTACATACATACATGAATTTCGCTTTCGGCGCAGCGCTGCCGAAGCTGGCAAAGGTTCTTTTTTTTATTTTTGCGCTGTGCTAGCTGAGTATAAAAAAGAGAAGAGAGAATAGAGAAATATGTATGTGGTTTGTTGATGCTCTCTAAACACAAACGCGTGAAAGGCAAACAGTCTAGCAATACGTGGTATTGTTGATCAACTTAATACTTTATTTAAACATAAGGGTTGCTCACAGTTCGAGTGCGTTATCTTGTTAAAGTTGCCACCTTTTAACTTTAGAAGTAAACTGTGAATACCCTAAATATTTTCATACAAAATTTATTACGCACGTATTTGACTGTTCACATCTGAGTATTTATATGTATGTTAGTGTACATATCAGTGTTGCCAAACATGGGCTTTTCCTACCAAAACTGGTAGGTTTTTTTCCATTTGGTAGGTTGGTAGGCTAGATTGGATTTTGGTAGGTTCAGCGACAATAATAGTTATTTGAGAAAAATATAAAATATGTATCTCCAAACATTTTAACAACCTTGTTTACATGACTATTTCACAGGTGGAGTCCACCAATGTTCACCTGACAGAAACTTCATTGTGAGACTTGAGGAATATCACCAAAACTAACCTATTGGTCTTTTAATATGGTTGTAGGACCCATTGTCACACATACAGCACTGGCCTGGTGACCAAAAGCTACGCAAGTAAAGGCGTGTGCCACCTTTAGCAAGCTGCACCGACTGGTCCGCGTGGCTAGTACAGGAGCTATGGGCACCAGTCCAACGGATGCCCTTGGTGTCATTACAGGCATTCCTCCTTTGTCTATTCTGTTTGAAAAAAGGGACTGCTGTAAAGTGATAATAACTATGATTGACGAAAGGTCCCAAGTATGATATTCCGACGGATCAGACGAGAGTCTACTGGGGCAGGCGTATTTGGATCAACATTTCAGAAAGTCTGCGAATTACACATACTCAACTATATTCCAGGGGAAAGTATTCGCAAGCGAAGTTTGTGTAGAAGGACAAATGGGGCCAAATTAAATATTATGTCGGATAGTCAGGCAGGTTAAAGGCCTTAGACTCTTATAAATGATTGATTTGGTAGGAAGTTTTGGTAGGAAAAAAAATGTGTCCGTGGCAACACTGGTACATATGAACCCTAAGCATGCAGAGCGGCGCTCTGAGAGAGAGAGCGGGGACAACACACACATACATACATAGTACATACATGTCTATCCGTACAAATCGCGTGCTGTGGTGTGTAACGACTTTCTCCAAAAGGCCCGCTTAAAAGATGAGAGGATAAAGCGTAGGTGCATGCACTTCAGCAGTTCTGCATACCTTGCTACGCTACAGCTTAGCTCAGGGCAATGGGCGTGGGCTTGCGTCCGTACATACAGCGAAAGTCTTAAAAAAAAAATATATAAGTATGCAGATATAGAGAGAAATTGAACGTAAAGAAACCGGCCTACGAAACCAAATGAAGCAGCAAAATCAATTAAGGAGGAAAATGTCCAAGAAAACGCAAAAAGAAAAATACCCTACAACCACTCGGAACTGGAGGGGAGAGAAGATGGCATTTCTCCCTCTGCCTTTACCCACCCAACCTGTTAATAGAGATTTCCTTCATTCTATTAACCCAACTAATTTCTTATTTCACCTCACCATGACCTTATCCTACATTTCGTCCACATCATAATTCAAATTACCACAACATCTTCAATTCATGTGATTTAATACAAAAATTCCTCTTAAAGTTAACATAGAAAAATCTCCTTAACCTATAAGTAAATAACTTATTATGCATAAGTATCTTAAATCTATTTCCCTAACATCATTACTATTTAAAAAAAATAAAAAATTAACTTGTCTCGATTCACTTAGCTAATTTAAATGTACACCCATCTATACATGAGTGCATAAAAGAAAATAAACATGCTAATTATGTATGTTCGAACTTACTTGCATATGACGGCAGCATCGATGCGACGGTGGGCCCAGCGACGACGATGAAGTTTGAGAGTTCGATCCAACTTAATTTAGCTTCTAATCGAGCAGGTTCGATTGAGAGTGTGCTCTGCCCTTTACGTATATACAAACATGCGTGAACTTATTTCCTAACTATGAGACTAATCTGGTAAAACTTAATTAAATTTAATTAACTTCACCTATTGCAAAAGTGTAAGTGTAAGATGCTAAGAATTACAAAAAAAAACTATATTATGAAAAAAAAAATTATGAAAAATTAACCGATTATTGTGTTTAATTAGGGCTGACGTAGTTTCAGAAAACTAATACAAATTTGGATTCAATACCAATATTCACATCTACAAACATACATACGCTGAAGTGTATGCAGTTGGTAAAAACCTCATAACTACGTTAACTTATACACAAATGTTATTAATGAAAATTTATTTCATTCTATATAAATTTTCATCCTTAAATTACCAGCCTGAACTTTACAAAACTCTCTGAACCTTAACTTTCTGACCATAAACTTTCTGACCATTAATTTTCTACGTAGAAAGGCGATTGGCGAAACGTTTTAATCACGACCCCGACCGGCAAGCGGTTTCGGGGCCATATAAGGAGTAAAAGATATTTGATAAGACTATTGCAAATACGGTACTCTAAATTCTGTAAACTTCCTTTAACTTTGTTTTTTTTTTTTTTTTTTTTTTTTTGGATTAACGAGAGTATCATATATCTCAACTTAAGGTTGATTTAAGAAAAAAAAAAAAATAAAAATTAGAAGTGCCGATCGGAGCGTCTGGTTCGCCGTCCGGGTATGCAGGCCCATGCAGTTTACCGGATACCGCTCCCTTGAATCGCCAATAAAAAGTACTCGTTCTGAAGGAGTTTGACTGTAGTGGATTAATCTCGGGCGTGATTAATGGCACCATGGACGCCTTCCACGTTCGTAACGATCGACCCAAGTACCGCCCTTCGTGCTGAAATTTCGGTCTTTCGTAAACCAAAGGGCAATATGATTCTTTAACGACTTAGCCTACCTTTCGTAATCATCCGTGACCAATTCTGGAATTGCGCGCTTAGGCAATAATTTCGAATCTTCGCTTGATTATAAGAACTTCACTTAATAGGATTTAATCTTGAAACTCTCTATTCACTTAGCAATAAAACTTTATTCACTCTTTGTAAGACTTATTGCGCTGGCTGATCAAAGTCAAATGGCAGAGACCAGAAAGTGAAAATGCTGACGAGGTATGCCAGTTCTCGTTTTGCCCTTGAACTTTAACAATGTTATGGACAACGGTACATGCCTAGACTATGTACTAGTATACCTAAGTTATGTACTAGTATAACTAAACTATGTACTAGTATTTAGCGAGGATTTAATGCGAGCTGCGTAGGTGCATTGGCATGTATCGGCCGGTTGCAGCTCCCACGAACCGGTTCTTTATGTAGTCACGTCATCCGTCGCCTGACCACACCTATGTACATACACATGTGCATACAAGCTTAGCAGCGTGATAGTGGTATGCGGGAGTTGCTGATATCATCTCATTATCAGCGAAGCGAGCGTAATACATAGCCCTGCGCGTGGTTCGAGACGCGAACATCCCAGTGGTATATTCTCTTGGTACCTTACCCTCACAGGTGTTGATGGATATTCAACATTTGAAAGCTGAGTGCGCAAAGATGCTTGACACAAGTTGTTGATAACCGGAGATGGTCGGGTTCGAATTCCACTGCAGGCAACATGCAAATTAAGTTTTTTTTTTAGTTTTTTCTTGATTATTCACTTCACGGATGCTTTTTCAGTACGAAAGCGATCATTTTAATATGCGCGTAATTGAATTGAATATTTATACATTATACAGTACTTTCGTTGACGTTTATAGTAAAATCAATTACGTTTCTATTTGATTTTCATATTTTTTTCAAGTCTTAGCTGAAAAAATTTTTATAAAAATATTAAAAAAAAAANAGCGATCATTTTAATATGCGCGTAATTGAATTGAATATTTATACATTATACAGTACTTTCGTTGACGTTTATAGTAAAATCAATTACGTTTCTATTTGATTTTCATATTTTTTTCAAGTCTTAGCTGAAAAAATTTTTATAAAAATATTAAAAAAAAAATTTAAAATAATTGTGAAAGGAATCGTAGTAATGAGATTTTTGATGCTGTTTTTTTAACTTCTTTGGTATAAGAAAAACTTGAATAACTGAGCCTAGGCTCTTCCGATTTAGACTTGTGAGGTGTCATTGGAAAGCTATTTTCTCACCCTTTTTAATTCTTTGCTTATAAACCCATTCAAACGATGAAAGAGAAAGGTAGAATGAACGAACGTCATTCAAAANCAAATATTGGTATAAGAAAAACTTGAATAACTGAGCCTAGGCTCTTCCGATTTAGACTTGTGAGGTGTCATTGGAAAGCTATTTTCCCACCCTTTTTAATTCTTTCCTTATAAACCCATTCAAACGATGAAAGAGAAAGGTAGAATGAACGAACGTCATTCAAAATTGAATTAAGATGTGTTGGTATTTGAATAAAAAACTTAGGACGCGGATGACTTTTTTTGGACACAAATAAAAACAGTGGGAAAATACCTTTCAACCGAGATCCCACAAGTTTAAATCATAATCAGTTATTTAAGTTTTTCGTGAATCTATCTTTGAAACAAGTAAAAAAATACCATCGAAAATCTTATTATTACGATTCCGTTAAAAAGATTTTTAAATATTTTTAAGCAGATTTTTTAAGCTTAATCTGTTTTGTCATCTGAGGAGCCTTTTTTTCAAAAAGTGCTTTAAGGAACTATTTTCATTCATAAGAAACTCCATTTTGGAGGTATTTTCAAATCAGTCTAGCTCACGTAAATCTAAATCTTTTTCCGAAATATAATAAGTTTTGTGATTCCGGCGGAAAAACCGCAACTTTTTTAGTGATGCTGTCTAATGTACATATAAAACAATGAAAATTTTCAGCCCCTGAAAAAATATATTTTATTTTACTAAAATTTAATGGGCTATATAACTGCGTCGGCCGCTGTGGTGTAGTGGTAAGCAGTGCGCACTTCCACTCCACAATGCCTGGGTTCAAAACGTGGTCAAAGCAACATCGCAAAAATATAGAAAAAAGGCTTTTTCTTAACAGCGGTCGTCCCTCGGCAGGCAACGGCAAACCTCCGAGTGTATTTCTGCCATGAAAACAGCTTCTCATAAAAATACAATCGCCGTTCGGAGTCGGCGTAAAACTGTAGGTCCCTCCGCTTTGTGTGACAACATCAAGGCGCACGCCACAAATCGGAGGAGAAGCTCGGCCAAACACTAACATATGTGTAAGCGCCAATCTATTATTATTATTATTATTGACTGCGTACCGTGAATTTTTCTTAATTGTTTGGTTTGATGCTTTGAATTATACGATTCTTGTGGAAGTATGAACTACATTTTTATAAAAAATCAACGAAAAATATTTAATATGAAAAAAATTGGGAATATTTTAATAAAATCACGTTGTGAATAACTTCCGTAGTCATTAATATACATGTATGTATAATCTTGCAAAAATAGCAGAATCATATCATTGCACATTAACATATGGGTATTTCCATACGTCGCATACGTGACAGTCGTACGTTTCAATGTGATACAAACAAGGAATGCGATTTGTTTTCTTTAACTTTTTTGGGCCATTGTATAGCACATAATTAGCTCTATATTTAACCGAAATGGTCCTGAAATATAAGAGAGTGTCGTTACGTGACAAAAAATGGAAGTCGATTTTTTTTTCTTACAAAATCGCAAAACTCTGCGAATTGTGGATGGCTATTTTCATGAAACTTATTTTAATATGATTTGGAGCAATTCTAGTTATTTTTAGAGTTTTTTGAATTAATGCAACATGTTTCAATTTTCTTTTACAACCCCAAGTGTGAAACGTCACGTGACGCTGCACACTATTTAGTACCTTGTTATGCTGACCTGGACCACTTTAACAAACTGATATATGTGTAGAACCCAACTCGTCGTAGCCCATTGGCAATATGATTCGGTTGCCGAATGGGCCATGGTCCAAAAGGAGTAGTTGTCTAGGTGGGCACATGTTATGCAGCGTTGGACCAGAGGTAGTCAGGTCCAATGACATCGCAATGTTAATGTAACCATATTTTCTCCATATATTTGAACCATTTTGGTTACTAGTGTTGGTTACAAGGTAGCGTGGTCCTGTACTAGTGTTTAACCTATTCCCACTTTTTGCAGGGTATCTTAAGCAAAAAATTAAAAACTTGCAAGTAAATTAATTTGACTCATATGAATAGGTAATTTGAACGGGGAAAACGTTACTCCAAAATTATCGGGATCGCTTCGAGCTATAAACAAAAATATATATATACATATGTATTAGGCTGGCCATCGAAAATGCTTTTTTTTGGAAATTTTTAGACCGTACCCATTAATTTTATTTGTTTTTAAGAGAAAAATTATTGCCTATTTTTATAGATTTTTTGAAGGCCATTTAGAGGTCGCGACCTGTCGTTTCAGGTCGGAAAATAGGATATTGTAGATTTAAAAGTTTTTGAATGACTATGTTTGATTCGATTTCAAAGATAGAATACAATCTGAGAAGAGGATATATAGGCTTTTAAAATGGTTTATAATAGTCGGACTAGGCTTGTTGGGATTTTTTATCGAGTAAATCAAAAAAATACCCATATTTCTCAAATTTTTTTTTTAATTTTAAACTCCATTATTACTACAATTTAAAAATATGGAGTACTATCTAAAATTAAATCTATTATTGAAAATTTTTGACATCGGACAAAAACCACGGGCTCCACCAACGTAACGGTAATTTCAAAAAACTCAAAGCTAGCTATATTTTTTTTGGAGAAGTAGGTTTTGTCCGATTTTAAAACTATTGAAGACGGCACTTAAGGAGGCTAAGCACAATGCGTATACCCAAATTTGGTCGAGATCGGTAAAGTAGTTTTGAGATAGTTTTGAGATTTAAATTCAGGTACATACACACGTATAAATTCAAGGCCGTATTTAAGAAAAGTCGCCTAAGTTCGACAATTTTTATTCGATGGCAATAAATGAGATATCATTTTATTTGAAACTAGATTTAATTTTAGATAGTACTCCATGTTTTGAAATTGTAGAAATTGTCGATGGTCTAAATTTAAAAAATTAAGAGAAATATGGGTATTTATTTAATTTACCCGATAAAATCGAATAAAAAATAGTAATTCAAAAACTCAAATCTACAAAATCTTATTTTTTGACCTAAATCGATAGGTCGCGACCTCTTTATGACCTTTAAAAAATCTATAAAAATAGGCAACAATATTTCTCATAAAAGCGAATAAAATTAGGTGGTAGGGTCTTGAAATTTCCAAAAAAAGCATTTTCGATGGGCACCCTAATATTTATATATATATATTTTTTGAACACATATATTTTATTGCGGTCTGTTTGTTGTTTTTTTAACATTAAGCAATATTTGAAACATAAATACTAAATAAGAAAATAATCATGTATGGAGTACACCCAGTGGCGCAACCATATTCTATTCGCAGGAATTCAATGTTATTAGAGATCTAATATTGATCGCCTTTCAAGTCGTTGGAATGAGAAGTGAGTGTAGACTAGGGCTGATGATACCCGGGTACCCGGTTACCCGGGTATTACCCGGGTGCCCGGGTAATTCGGGTAATGCCCGGGTGCCCGGGTAATTCGGGGGGCTTTTATTACCCGGGTAGTCGGGTATTACCCGATTTGCCCGGGTACCCGGGTAATATACATATGTTGGTGCCGGTTAAACGAAAAACACCCGGGTAATGCGACATAAAGCTTCTTGTATAATCTTTTTGGTGAGGATAAATATTTTTTCAGTGAGAAAATTTTTTTTTATAATTATTTTTTTATGTCTAGAGTGTACGCGACTATGTACACCTAACCGCTTGCCTGAGTAGACGGAGACAAGAAAAGTAAATTAAAACATTAGTTTCTGTACTTAAATTCAAACTTCTAATTTTTGTAAATGCATATACATACATGCATGTGTACATATGTATGTATGTATGTATATTTTAAAGAATATTAAATATTAATATTTTAAAACAGGGACTGAGAACGAAATGTATGATCGAAACTAAATGCCATTGTCGTAGTTTTGTTCCCAAGAACGCGTCAAAACCAAAACCAAAATGAGAACAAAACTGACGAGAACGTTCTCATTGGGAATTATATAAGAACTAAACCCTGTGGTAGGCC